AACCGCACTCATTAAATTTGTAAATTCACAAATACATTTGTTATTAATTGCGGAAGCGGGTAAATAACCCAGAAAGCAAGATTATAAGTAACAAGATAAAAAGGGTGATAATCCAGATAAAATAATGTTAAAAACTTAAAAACTATAAGTTTTAGCGACTAATCAGAATTATTAAGTTATGTAATTGTACAAATTATAATATGTAATACCCCACAAATGCAAAACAGGTCTGAAGAAATCGTAAATTTAAAATAAATATTAAATTGGATCAATATCCAATATGTAGTCGGTTATATACTTATAATAAGAAATGTCAAACTTGGTATGTTGAAGAAATGGAAGTTTTGAAATTTCTTTTAAAATACGTAATTGTGTATCACCTTTGGCAGTGCACTTAAAATAAAGTGATTTTATTCAGGAAAGAAATAGTTCTTTATTGTTACATATTGTCAAAAATCGTAATGTCTGTGAATAGAAAACACTATATAGCGTGGTATCTGGTATGTTACTATAAATTGACAGGTATTTTACTACTTCAAAAGCAAATTTGTCCATTTTGTCGAAAATACCAACATTAAATTTATTGTTGATTATATTGATGTCCAGGTCAAGAACAGATGCATTTGTAGTGCCGGAATTTTCTTTATTTAATATTAAGCGGTCATGATAAATTCCCCCCTGTAAAAATTCTGTTGTTTCATCTCTTTATTCAACGGTCACTCCTCTAACGCGGCCAGCGGTCACTATTTTACTAATAAATTCAACAAAACATCGCCCATTCAACGGCCATTGTTGAATGATACCATCTGTCGTTCTTTGTAACACCCCCGCTAATCCCGTGAGCAGTAGTTAATTAACTGGAACCCCACTTATCAGGTAAAAAGAAATGTAAAAATAACAATCAATTAATCTTTTGTTTTATTAAACGACTAACCTGATCATTGTTTTCACGCGTAACGACACATTATTTGATACTGATTGAATAAAATAAAAGTACCAAGTTTTGTCACGATCATCTAGTATCTCTTTTCCATTGCCACTTTATTGTTAAACAGACGTTTTAGCGCCTCCTGTAATATTACATACAGAGTTACACCCCCTGTAAAATCAGCGATGTTTTTTTGTTCATGTGCTTTTTTGATAAAATAAAATTAATTCATCGATTTTCTCCACAAAAATGGATAAATATTATCGAATGCATCACAATGGTAGACAGTACTGTCAGTAGTATTGAAGGTTGGTACAAGATGACTGGTTTACAGAAGTTATGTCCGAGATTTGAGTAAAGAATTTTTGTTCGGCGCAAGATTCAGCAACGGTCAAATTTACCACTTCCAATGCATTCAAGCGTAATAATAAATTTATGTCAGCACAAAAAGCACCAAGATTTTATTAAGAGGCCACTCCTGTTAAGTTATGGCCGAGATTTGAGTAAAGAAATTTCGTTCGGCGCAAGATTCAGCGACGGTCAAATTTACCACTTCCAATGCATTCAAGCGTAATATTAAATTTATGTCAGCACAAAAAGCACCAAGATTTTATTAAGAGGCCACTCCTGTTAAGTTATGTCCGAGATTTGAGTAAAGAATTTTCGTTCGGCGCAAGATTCAGCGACGGTCAAATTTACCGCTTCCAATGCATCCAAGCGTAATATTTAATTTATGTCAGCACAAAAAGCACCAAGATTTTATTAAGAGGCCACACCCGTTAAGCGGTCAGTTGTGAAAATTCCCTTGGGTGGCTGCTTAATGCAGATTCTACTGTATTTCACTTTTATATTTATTGAAATTTCCGTTATCATTGATGGGTGTTATGTCATCAATGTATCGGAAGGTATAGTTTAGACTTTTAGCTACTTTGTAATCTGTTTTTCTTTTATGGTCTTGAAAGCAAAATTCATATTTATATAAATGTGCATTTGCCATAAATGGGGCGGCTTCAGTTCGCATTGGTAAACAAATAGTTTACTGTATTATCTGATCCCCAACCTCAAATATGGTATTGTCAATGAGAAAATGTATGATGTTTTGAAATTTTTCCTTATCAAAAACTACAGTGTCAGCATTACGACGTTTTATAATCCATTTAGCATCTTCTGAGTAAATGGCCATCAAGTTTCTGCCTCTCCCGAAAGCTCCATTAAAGGCTTTATCTACAAACCAATCCAAATTATCTTTAAGATCTGCTTGTTGAAGCATTAGCATACAAAGTAGAAAAATCGAACGTTTCTATTGTTTTTGCATTAACTACTAGCATGTACAAAAATACTTGTTTATTGCTCTCGTCATATTTGATATCAAAATGTTTACGAAATTAAATAAGTGACTTTTTGCGAATGACGTCAGAATTGTTGAAAGAAATGGTTGTATAAATGACTTAATATAACTACAGTTGAAAAAAAATGGTCATTTAACATGTTTTGCTCTGAAAACCTCATGTCTCAAATGCTACAAAAATAACGAGCGGGTTTTATGTACTAACCTTGTAAAAATTTAAGAAATTAGTTATTGGCTCACCATGGAAAAAGCCCTCTATAGGCGATTTTCATTTTTTGATAATTTTGATGCCTAATGGGTGTACTTTCCCTAGATAATGTTCAATACCTGTGTACTTTTTATACGCCCACATTTTCAAGTGGATGTAAATTGTCGTCACCCCTGTCTGTCCACAATTGTTTGTGGACACTCTACAGGACGAAACTTGAAATAAAGGTTTATCTCCAAAAGATCTCGGTTGCTTTCGATATTGCCATATATCGGATCGAAACTTCATGGATTATGGCCCCTGATTGTACGAAAAATCGTGTTTTTAGCTTGTGGACCCTATAGAGGTCACAATTTTTATCCAGTTCTGATGAAACTTGAAATGTAAGTTTATAACCGAAAGATTGTGGACCCTATAGAGGTCATAATTTTTATGCGATTTAAAAAAATGTTTTAGTATATCACCGTTTCACCCTAAGGATGGTTGAGTTTGAATTTCGTAAAAATCGGACCAAAACTGACAGACAAAATGGCTGTCCTTCGTTCTCAAATAGCGTAAAAATATGGTATATCAAGGTTGTGGACCCATCTAGAGGTCACAATTTTTTTCTGATTTTGATGAAACTTAAAATGTAATTTATAACCCAAAGATCTTGGTTCCTTTCAATATTCGTGCATATTGGACCGTAACTTCCTGAATTATGGCCCCTTATTGTACGAAAAATCGCGTTTTTAGCTTGTGGACCCTATAGAGGCCAAAATTATTATCCGATTTAAAAAAATGTTCAAACAAAGCACTGTTACACCGTAATTTTGGTTGAGTTTGAATTTCATGAAAATCAGACCAAAACTGCAGAACAAAATGGCCGCCCCTCATACACAATTAGTGTAAACATCTGGTATATTAAAGTTGTGGACCCTCTAGAGGTCACAATTTTGATCTGATTTTGATGAAACTTGAAATGCATGTTTAAAACCCAAAGATCTTGGTTCCTTTCAATATTCGGGCATATCGGATAGTAACTTCCTGAATTATGGCCCCTGATTGTATGAAAAATCATGATTTTAGCTTGTTGTCCCTCTAGAGGTCACATTTATTATATGATTTAAAAAAACCATTTGAATATATCACTGTTACAGTGTAATGTTTATTGAGTTCAAATTTTGTGAAAATCGGGCCAAAATTGCCGGACAAAATGGCAGCCCCTCGTACGCAAATAGTGTATAGCATCTGGTATATAAAGCTTGTGGACCCTCTAGAGGTCATAATTCTTTTCCGATTTTGATGAGATTTGAAATACATGTTTATAACCCAAAGATCTTGGTTCCTTTCGATATTCGCGCGTATCGGATGGCAACTTCCTGAAATATGGCCCTTGAATGTACAAAAAATCACGTTTTTAGCTTGCCGTCCATGTAGAGGTCACAATTTTTATCCGATTTAAAAAACAAACATGTGAATATATCATCATTAACCACTAAGATCTTGGTTCCTTTTGATAATCGTGTATATCTGAACGTAACTTCCTGGATTATGGCTCCTGATCGTTTGAAAAATCACATTTTTAGCTTGCGGATTCTCTAGAGGTCGCAATTTTTTTTCCAATTTTAAAAAACGTTTAAATATTTCACCATTCCACCCACCATAATGAAGGTTGAATTCGAATTTCGGGAAAATCGAAATGAAACTGCCCGACAAAATGGCCGCTTTTTGTACGCAAATTGTGTAAAAGTATGCAATACGAAGGTTGTGGACCCTCTAGAGGTCACAATTTTTATCCGATTGTGATGAAACTTAAAACATATCTTTATATCCCAAAGATCTCATCAGTCCCTTTTGATTTTTGCGCATTTCAGACCATAACTTTCTGGATTATTGCCCCTGATAGTGCAAAAAATTGTTTTTGTTTTTAGCTTGTTCTCTATCCATCTCTTGCAAAATGTGGGCGTATCCTGCCTGGCAGCCGCTGGTTTTATACCGTGCCAGCGACTCACGAGGGATGTGCAGTGTGAGGCCTGCTATGAACATTCATCGTTTGACACCTTTTCTTTCCAAATATTTGTTATAGTGATAGTTGCGTTGGATGTTTTTCAAATTTGGTGTGACGCATTAGAAATATATTAATTTTATGTGTCCGTAAAAGCATCACCTGTCCAACCTCGTGGGTTTTCTCCGGGTCCTCCGGTTTCCTCCCACTGCTAAAGACCCCTACGCGCAAGCGAATTATGGAAATAAAATTGAACCATATGTTAGTCCCAAAATGACCTAGTTTATGTCGAGTGGACGTTAAACCCCATTTCTCTCTCTCTCTCTCTCTCTCTCTCTCTCTGTAAAAGCAACAAGCAAGTTTTCCTTTAGAGACATAGCCAATGAGTGGGAATATTTTCCATGCTTTGCATGTCTATCTTTTTAGTATTTTATGGTTTTAATTTGGGATTGGAGAAAATGCTGTGTATTCTGAGTGCAATATAAACATTGCCTCAGACATTGTTATAACTTGTACTTTTATATTGTAGGCATTAATAAAGGTAAAGGAAAAATAGCTAAAGAAATCAACAAAAAGAAAGGAAAAATGTCACCGGTAAGTTATTGTTATAGAGATGAGCCAACCATTGGTTACAACATTGTTATAGGGTGATAATTGTGTTATCAATGCAGATCGGTATTTGCCAATAATTGACCATTTTTACCGATTTTTTAACCCTTATTCACTTGTAAAGAAATTCTAAGGTGAATGAATATGATATGTGGTTTTAAGATTTACCGACATCCTGGGAAACAAATGTATTGCAAACTTGGTATAGCAGATCACGCAATTTCACACGGAGGATGCCAAGCAATGGGTTATGTGCACATTGTGCAGTCACGAAATCTCAAAAACATGCACCTGATTTTCATGCTAAGCACAAGGCCCTATGCCAGATCACAGATTTATAAACTGAAATGAAAAATAGCTGACATGCTTTAGCTGTTAATTACATTTTTCGCTTCTTTTATTCTGAAAGAAATATTGATGTAACCGCTATAGTCTGTCTGTCTGTCTGTCTGTCCGTCACACTTTTTTGGACACAATAACTCTCTTTGTAATTGAGCTAGAATGTTCAAACTTTGTGTTGGTGTTTATTAGGTCAATGCCTTGATGGAGTTTGAAGATGAGCATTTTCTGCTTAGGGTAAAGGGGTAAGCAGAAATAAGCAATTTGATTGGTTGATGCTTTGGGACATGATAACTTTAGTTCTAATTAAGTGAGAGTGATGAAACTTGGTGTATAGTTTCATTACATCAATACCTTGACTAAGTTCGATAATGAACATTTTCTGCTAAGTGTAAGCAGAGCGATAGGCAATTTGATTAGCGAAGACTTTGGAACACAATAATTCACATTCTAATTGAGTTAGAATGTTCACACTTGGCGTATTAGGTAAATGCCTTGATGGAGTTCGAAGATGAGCATTTTCTGCTTAGGGTAAGCAGAGATAAGCAATTTGATTGGTTGATGCTTTGGGAGACGATAACTTTAGTTCTAATTAAGTGAGAGTGATGAAACTTGGTGTATAGTTTCATTACATCAATACCTTGACTAAGTTCGATAATGAACATTTTCTGTCGAGGGTAAGCAGAGCGATAAGCAATTTTGATTGGTCGAGATATTGGAACACAATAACTCTCCTTCTAATTGAGGTAGGATGTTCAAACTTGGTGTAGGTGTTCATTTTGTGAATGCCTTGATGGGGTCGATGATGAACATTGTCTGCTTACAGTAAGCAGAGACAAGCAATCTGCTTGGTTGATGCTTTGGGGCACGATAACTTTGGTTATAATGAAGTGAGAGCGATGAAACTCCGAATATAGATTCATTATATTATTACCTTGACTATATTCGATGGTGAGAATTTTCTGCTCATGCTAAGGAGCGATAAGCAATTTGATTGGTCAAGACTTTGGAACATAACAACTCTGCTTTTAATTGAGGTAGAATGTTTAAACTTGTTGTAGATGTTCATTAGGTGAATGTCTTGACTGAGTTCAATTGTTAACTTTTCGAGATGAAGCTGAGCAGAGCTAACCAATTTCATTGGTCGATGCTTTGGGACAAGATAATCTTCATTTTATCGGATAGAGAGTGATGATACTTTTGAAAAAAGTGTGGTTAATTAATATGTGTCATCAGTTTATTTTGGGATTAAGGCGGGGGACATCAGTCTCACTGTTGGCTTGTTTATTTGGATACTTGCCTATATGTGTTAATTCTTCCATAAACAAATGGTAAGATATCAAAATGGTGACCAATGTTCGGTTCTGACGTTTATAGTAAATGGCTACCATAGTAAATACTGATCCGTCGCCAATGATTAAGAATGATATGCAAGAATAACACATATAATATGTCTAACTATTAAAGGGAGTCATTTGGACGTGAACTTCAAAACCGTTTATCCGGACACATAACCCTTTTAAGATTTCATGTCAGTTTTTTCGTTGAGTGACCTGATACTCTATTACTGTTTCTTAGAGGTCTATACAGTGTGTGATGCATGTCCTCTACTTGGTAACAAATGGTAAATTTAACCTGCACATTATTTTTATAAAACAAAATTCTGGTTTTATCCAGACACCATATAATATGGCTTTGGGACACCGGTCTCCACTTTCAGGTGAAGACTGAAGGGTTTAAGTTGTTTGAAAACATATCACATATATTGAGTTAGTTGCTCGGCCCTAAGGTAGAGGTTTTTAAGGGCTTTTCACACTAAATTAAGCAGTTTTATTCTCCAAAATATAATCGAGATTGGCCTTTTAACTATTTAGTATACATTTTTCTGTGAACAATAAGATATCAAAATGGTGACAAGTGTCTGATTCTGATTACCTTCGACAGGTAATGCATTTGTGTAGGATCTTTCGAACATACTGGCGTCCCTTTATTAACCAATAGTTGGATCGGAGTTCTGTAAGTGTGGATTTCAAGCCCTCGTGTGAAACTCTTTCGTGGCCTTGATACACTATAAGTTCTGTTAAGTGGTGATCCTTGTTCAGCAGAATTGGACATTTCGTTGATTTTGGAACATCAGCCTAGGATATTCTACCATTACAACGCAAAATACCATCCTCTCCAGTGAAAATACCAAACTGTTTCGTCTAGCTATCATAGTTACGATGAGATTTCAAATCATTCTGAATATCTTATAGCCATTCGACCTTTGCTTGAACCATAGCCATATTCGGATCCATCCTTTTCTTGTACTTAAGAATGTGTATGAATTTATATACAAGAGCGCTTATTCGTATAATTTTAATGAAGCTGCTATATTTTGTCGAATCAATCACAGTACTGACTGAATGTGAATATTGTTGATCTGTTAAAAGAGTGGTACTGGTGGGAATTTCCCTTGAATTGACCTTCATTTCCATAATACATTCCTCAAGTGGTTCATCATCAAGTTCTTGAGAATTAGGATAAGACCGATCTGTCTTCAACCATGGTGGTCCCTTCTTCCATAGATGGCTGTGGCATAATTCTGACAAATCCATACCTCTTGAAGGTAGGTCCGCTGGGTTATCACATCCTGGTGTATGATTCCAAATGCTAGTGGATGTTAAAGTTTGAATCTCATTAACGCGATTTTGTACCCATTGCTTCCACTCCTTAGTTTGATTTAAGATCCAATACAAAGTGACCCTTGAATCAGTAAAACATAAAATCTGATTAATGCTGACTTCAAATTCCAAAGATTTCAGTACATTGTCAATCAAACGGGAAAGTATAAGTGCGGAGAGAAGTTCCAGTCTGGGTATGGTTGTTGGGTTGGTTGGAGCTACTCTGGTTTTAGAAGCAACAAATCGTATGTATACACCACTTTCTGTTTGGATCCTGAGATAAATTACAGCTGCATAAGCCTGAGTTGAAGCATCGCAAAATCCAACCAAGGTGATGTTTGTTGGGATCTCATCAATGGATGCTTGATAAAATCGTGGTAGGGTTACAGTGTTCGTGTGTGACATTGAAGTAACTAGGCGATTCCATTTGGTCAAAAGTTCATCTGGAATAGGTTCATCCCAATCGATCTTGGCCTTGCACAGCTCCTGGAATAAAACCTTGAACTGGATGATAAACGGGGAAATGAATCCAAGCGGGTCAAAAAATTTGACAGTAATGCTTACAATATTCCGCTTAGTTGGTACTGTGGTTTGACTTGATTTGGCTATATCCTGTAGATGAAATATTAATTCATCCGTGATATAGTTCCATTCCACACCTAAAATCCTTTGAATAGAGTATTCTTCTGATACTGATTTGGGGTGATTACCGAGAGTCGATTTGACAAAGGTCTGGTCATCCTCTTGTATTGTGGTGCTGGTTGGCTGGTTATTATTATAATGGGTTTCGATTCCATTAATCCTATCCTGCGAAGTTGTGGAATTGGTTTTGAACTTTCTCATATTGAAACCTCCCTCCAAGAGACAATACACGAATATCGAAAGGAACCAAGATCTTTGGGTTATAAACTTACAGTTCAAGTTTCAACAAAATCGGATAAAAATTGTGACCTCTATAGGGTCCACAACCTTGATATACCATATTTTTGCGCTATTTGAGAACGAACGGCGACCATTTTGTTCGTCAATTTTGGGCCGATTTTCACGAAATTCGAACTCAGTCGTCCTTAGGGTGCAACAGTGACATAATAATATTTTTTTTTAAATCGGATAAAAATTATGACCTCTATAGGGTTATAAACTTACATTTCAAGTTTCATCAAAATTGGATAAAAATTGTGACCTCTATAGGGTCCACAACCTTGATATACCATATTTTTACGCTATTTGAGAACGAAGGATGGCCATTTTGCCTGTCAGTTTTGGGCCGATTTTCACGAAATTCGAATTCAGCTGTCCTTAGGGTGTAACAGTGATATAATAATACGTTTTTTTAAATCGGATAAAAATTATGACCTCTATAGGGTCACAAGCTAAAAACGGTGATATAATAATACGTTTTTTTAAATCGGATAAAAAATATGACTTCTATAGGGTTCACAAGCTAAAAACGTGATTTTTCGTACAATCAGGGGCCATAATTCAGGAAGTTACGGTCCGCTATGCGCGAATATCGAAAGGAACCGAGATCTTTGGGTTATAAATTTACATTTAAAGTTTCAACAAGTTCGGATAAAAATTGTGACCTCTATAGGGTTCACAAGCTAAAAATATGATTTTTCGTACAATCAGGGGCCATAATCCATGAAGTTTTGATCCGATACATGCCAATATCGAAAGCAGCCGAAATCTTTTGGGGATAAATCTATATTTCAAGTTTCGTCAAAATCGGATAAGAATTGTGACCTGTAGAGAGTCCACAAACAATTGTGGACGGACGTCCGGACGGACAGGGGCGACGGCATAATACATCCACATGAAAATGTGGGCGTATAAAAATGATCACATGTTCACATATTTAGCATATTTCCAAGATGGCAGCAATTTTCAGCGGGAAAATGAGACGATATGCAGATTTTGATTAAGTAGTAGTGTTTGGTGGCAATATATATCCATTTCTGACATTTACAACCTTGAAAAATT